TTGGGTTTACTCCTGCTAGGAAGCTACTGGGAGAAAGTACACCAAAGCATCACATGGGAACACCAAGCATGGCGATTTTAACTTGGGCATGATGAATCTGATGAAAGAATTATGAAATGGACTAGATCCCATTGTGCTATCTAAGCAGGGGTGAAATCCAGCAGGTTCTGACAGGTTCTGGAGAACTGGTAGCGGAAATTTTGAGCAGTTCAGAGAACCGGCAAATATCACCTCTGGCTGGCCCCAGAATGGGGTGGGAATGGGGATTTTGCATTATCCTTCCCTTGCCATGCCCACCAAGCCACGCCCACCCACCAAGCCATGCCCACAGGTAACAGTTACAGAGTTGGAAGGGACCTTGGAGGTCATCTAATCCAACCCCTGCTCATGCAGGAGAACTATACGAGGGATTCGACCCGCTGAACTGCCAACCTTTCTGATCGACAAGCTCAGTGTCTTAGCCACTCAGCCACCTAACTGGTAGTAAAAAAAATGGATATCACCACTGTATCTAAGGTCTAGTGCAGTGTTTCTCAACCTTGGTAGCTTGAAGATGGGTGGACTTCAACTCCCAGAATCCCCCAGTCCACCCATCTTCAAGCTACCAAGGTTGAGAAACACTGGTCTAGTGGATGCCCAATTAGTTGAGCTTGGTAGATCCCTAAAAACCAAGGAGGTTTGAAAGACCCAGGAAGAAGGTGAATGGAAGCTTTTCAAGGATTATTAAGGCTGCAATCTGGAAGTCAAAATGCTTCCTAAGAGAAAGCCATGGCCGACCTACTCTGCGTGGCTGCCAAGAAAACCACCTCACTCCATCCATGATGTCAGCAGGAATTGTACTTGACATGAAGGAGACTGAATGGGCAATGCATAAAGGAGAAGTGGGAAGGAGGGGGTGCCCCTGTCTCCACTTCTCTCCAAAGATTATTGATGGGCAGGAAAGGACTGATGTCATTTTTTTCCTTTTTTAGTAACTTACATCAAACGCACAGGAGTAAAGAGGAATGTTGCAGCTTGCGTGTGTCCTTATGCCTGTCTGACCCAGAACATTGGCCTGAAAAGAAACAGCAGCTTGAAGACTGAATGTAGTCTTCCTTTTAAACCCCATTTACTTCTCCTGCTGTTAAACCTTTGCACTCCCGTTCTAGACCCAGCAGCTTTTTTGCAGTAGGTTTGCCAACGGAGCACATGGACACAGTCGCTCAAGAAACAAACACACAAATGACTTTTTAGGGCAATTCATTAATAATAATAATAATAATAATAATAATAATAATAATAATAATAATAGACATTGCCATACCTGGTGACAGCAGAATTGACGAGAAACAACTTGAAAAGGTCACCAGATATCAGGACTTGAGAATTGAACTGCAGAGGCTCTGGCATAAACCAGTGCAGGTGGTCCCAGTGGTACTTGGCACACTGGGTGCTGTGCCTAAAGACCTAGGCAAGCACTTAAAAACAATTGGCGCTGACAAGATCACCATTGGTCAGCTGCAGAAGGCCACCTTACTGGGATCTGCTCGCATAATCCGCCAATACATCACACAGTCCTAAACGCTTGGGAAGTGTTCGACTAGTGATTTGGGATACGAAATCAAGCATGGTCATCTCGTTTACTGTGTATACTGTCATAATAATAATAATAATAATAATAATAATAATAATAATAATAACAACAACAACAACAACAACAACAACAACAACAACAACAACAACAGGAGTACTGAAAAAAGAAACAGAAAGCTTTATTTTGGCAGCTCAAGAACAAGCCCTAGCCACAAACTGCATGAAGGCAAAAATTCAACATGTTACCACCAACAGCAAATGCCGCCTCTGCAATGAGAAAGATGAGACAGTCAACCACCTGATCAGTGGGTGCAGCAAAATTTCACAAACTGACTACCTACAACGCCATGACCGCATTGCTAAGATGACTGGAAATTGTGCCAGAAGTTTGGATTTGAGTATAGCAAAAACCACTGGGAACATCAGGTTGAGAAAGTTTTAGAGAATGAGAAACTCAAGATCTTGTGGGACTTTAGGATTCAGACTGACAGGCACTTGGTCCACAACACACCTGACATAACAATAGTTGAAAAGAAAAAAGTATGGTTCATTGACATTGCAATACCTGGTGATGCACGGATTGAAGATAAGCAGCAAGAAAAAATCACAAAGTACCGGGACTTGCAAATTGAAGTTGAGCGACTGTGGAAAAAGAAATCGTGTGTTGTCCCGATTGTAATTGGAGCCCTTGGAGCAATACCCAAAGGGCTACCCTGCTATTTAGAAATTCTAAATTTGCCGGACTTGAACATTTTGACTCTACAAAAAACCACCTTACTCGGAACAGCTTACATCCTCTGGCGATACCTTAACAGTTCCTAGGTCTTTGGTTAGGACTTGAGCTGCTGAGCTATTAACCAGCCTCAAAGGCTGTGAATCTCACTAAAGATTAACCAATAATAATAATAGCAACTTTATTGTCATTGTACATGTATACACAGTATACCCATACAATGAAATTCACTTAACACCCAAAGACCAGGTCCAACACACATAACAATCCCCAAACACAACCCCACCCACCAGAAATTCCCCACCCTTAAACCACCCAAACATCCACACAACAGAACAAGTAATGTTGTCCAACAGCTCACTGATGGTTGCCCTTGAGTTCATTGTTGAGTGCAATTATAGCTCTGGGATAAAAACTATTCAGAAAACATGTGGTCTGAGTTTTAATTGTTCTGTATCTTCTGCCAGAAGGCAACAGTCCAAAAAGATGGGAAGAGTCTCTGAGAATGTTCTTCAACTTCTTCAAACAGCGTGATTCGAAGATGTCGTCCAGGCTGGTAGCTTTACCTCTTGCACAGCAAGTCAAGATCTGCCCTTGAAAAGGTGGTGGAGCTGAGATCCCAGTGGAAAGAGCTTTTTAAAAATATCCTTTTATTTTTAAAGTTTATTTCCTCCACCAAAGATAAAAAACAAAACAATTAATTATTGCTGAGCCCTCCTCGCACTCCCCACACCTCCTTCATCCGTCTTGGTTCCGTTTCCTGGAAACAAACAGCAGGAGATTATTTGATCTTTGTTAGATGGCCTCACTAAATGGTACAGGAATCGCTGAAGTCTAAAAGTGTTGAGGCATTCTGGATACTTGCCAGATCACACATGGTCCCTGAGCTGTTACTTTTGTATTATTGGTTTAAATCAGTGTTCCTCAGCATGCTGGCTGGGGAATTCTGGGAACTGAGGTCCACGTAAAGTTGCCATATTTGATGAACACTTGTTTAAGTAGTCCAAAAGTTTTTTTTTTTTTTGTGGTATGATGTATGGTTTCACTCAACCCCCTTAAGAAGATTGGTGCCAACCCATGCAGCTGTTTGGCACAATATGCTAGATTAGGTTGGTTGGTTGGTTGGTTTTAATCTTGAACAGTTCATTATGATAAAAACATTTTTACCCCAATCCTTCTCAATATAGTATGTGCAAAGTCAGAGAATGGGTTAATCAGATTAAGAGTCTGAATGCAGCCAATGGAAAAAATCAGGTAAAAATCTGTTCTGTGTAACATGTAGTTTGGCACAAAGTTTTGGCTATCTCTCGATCAGTCCTGCCCCCTTTCCTTTCCTTTCCTTTCCTTTCCTTTCCTTTCCTTTCCTTTCCTTTCCTTTCCTTCCCTTCCCTTCCCTTCCCGTCCCTTCCCTTCCCTTCCCTTCCCTTCCCTTCCCTTCCCTTCCCTTCCCTTCCCTTCCCTTCCCTTCCTGTTCTGCCCCAGCTATGGACCCCAAAGAACGCAGCACACACAAAGTCCGTTCAAACCTTAGTTTACTAAATAAACCAGTCTTTTACAACAACGGCTGTTAATTAATTGCATTAACAGCCGTCAAGAATTCAAAGAATAATGACTGAAAGCTTACTATGGTTGGCAGAATTCCCAGAAGCAATTTGCAGGAAGCTGATAAGATAAGCAAGACAAGACACGAAGGTATGTGAACGAAGTTGTTCCCTGCAAATTGCTTCAGTCGGCATTCCTCTTTAAATAGATTAAGGGAGTGGCCAATTAGCCCCAAGCCTTACTCTCGAGGAGACCTCCTCCTGAGGAGCCACTCCTGCCTTTAGGCAGCTCTGCATGCCCGTGCATCGAGAAGAGGCTCCTCCTCTTCGTCCTCTTCACTTATGGGAGCTTCTGGAGGTTCTGAAGGCCCTGGCTGAATCCCGGCCTCTGGCACCACATCTTCTCCAGCCTCCTCATTGTCCGACTCGAGTGCCAGCTGCACAGGCTGCTGGCGCAGCACCACACCAGCCTCTTCGCTGTCAGAATCAGCTACTAACTGCACAGGCTGCCTACGGGCCACAATACTTCCCTTCATCTTCCTTTCCTTCTTTTCCCACTCTTTCCCCCATCTTGGACTGCTCTACTCCTATCTTGACAGTTGCGTGAAACACCAGGCATTGCCTTATTTGATACTCCCAAACCAACAACAGGTCAAAAACATGTCATCTAAATATACAGAGAATCCTCGATTTACAACCATTCATTTAGCAACTGTTTGAAATTACAATGGCACTGAAAAAGTGATTTACGATGGGTTCTTGCACTTACAACCTTCATATCACTCCACCCAGTCATGTGATCAAAATTCAGGCGCTTGGCACGTATTTATAATGGTTGCAGCATCACCTGATCATCCTTTGCAAGCTTCCCAGCCGCTTCTGACAAGCAAAGCCAATGAGGGAAAGTCACATTTGCCTAACAACAGATTATTCATTTAAAAACAGCAGTGATTTGCTTATAAACGTGCGAGAAAAGATTATAATATGAGGTATGACTGATTTAACAGCTGTCTTGCTTCGCAATGGAAGTTCTGGTCCCAATTTTGGTCACACATTGAGGATTACCTATAATTGCAGATCTCAGATTTGGGTTTGGGATTAACTCAGTCTCCTTTTGAGTCCTTAATGATCCTTTCTGCGTCTTTTCTCCACAGTACTTGCAATGGGCATGGCAAATGGGAGTGTGAAAACCGTGTCTGTCTTATCAATGGGGACATGATCGATGCCATCAACAGAGGGAATTATGGGTAAGAACAAAAATTCTATTCTTTGAATTGATGGAGCATGGGCTGAACTGAAGAATTTGGGTCGCATCCCAGATGCTTTTGTAGATCAATTCAAAATCAAAACCATGGGCGTTTGTAAAACCATCGCTGGGAATTAAGGCTCATGTTTTCTGAACCAGTTGGAACAAACCAGCTGCCTTAGATCTGAGTTCCCCAACTTTTCCGGCTTTGTGGAGAGGGGATGGGTCTGCATTTGCACACATGCACACAGGCAGCTCCGTTTGCATGAGCAGCACACACATGCTCCTGCCACTCATGCGAATGGTGTGTGCATGCATGTGCTTGCCCGTTGCTCACACAAGTGGGGATGAACGTGTATGTGTATGTGCTCTCCTGTTGTTTCTGTGACCCAGTTCCAAATTCCTCACAGCCCACTAGTGGGCTGCGGTCCAGAGGTCTAGGACCAGAAGTGGGTTCTACTTACTTTTGCTACCGGTTCACAACGGGATCGCGCGCGTATGCCAGCTTCGCTCGCGTGTGTGCCTTACTTCTGCACATGCACAGATCGCTGATGACAACATCCAGGGCAGTGGGTGGGGCCTCCCTCCGGTTTTACTACCGGTTCTTGCGAACCGGTCCGAACCAGGAGCAACCCACCACTGTCCGGGACCCCTGCCTTAGATGCTTAACCCATTCACTAGTTCAGGCTCCAGGAAGAGCAGGACTTCTGCTTTTCATTCTGAGCTAATTAGCAACCAGGAAAGAGGGAACCAAACTCATCTTACAACAGATTCCAGATGTTACAACCTGAGATGGAAATGTTACCATGGCTCATTCTGAGTATTCTTCCTTGGCAGAGACAAGCTTTGTCTTTTTAGCAGATTGTCTTCTGTCTTTCTTTAGCTGGAGAGCTTCCAACTACAGCCAGTTCTGGGGGATGACACTGGAGGAGGGCATTCGGTATCGACTTGGCACCATCAAGCCTCCCACATCTGTCATGAATATGAATGAGCTTCATGTAAGTGGTTTTCTCATTTATTTGTTAGATTTATTCTGATTTTCTGGCAGGAACTTCACCTGGGGTGCACAGTTTTCATCCTCTAGTTTCATCCCTACAAGCTATAATCTTCAAGTAGACTGGGATGATGTTTCTACACAACATATTCTTTGAAGAGCTAGTAGTTTCATTCACACAACCCATTGGTTCTTTTAAACTTTAGTAAAGGTAAAGGTTCCCCTCGCACATATATGCTAGTCGTTCCCGACTCTAGGGGGCGATGCTCATCTCCGTTTCAAAGCTGAAGAGCCAGAGCTGTCCGAAGACATCTACGTGGTCATGTGGCTGGCATGACTAAATGCCAAAGGGGCACGGAACATTGTTGCCTTCCCACCAAAGGTAGTCCCTATTTTTCTACTTGCATTTTTTAATGTGCTTTTGAACTGCTAGGTTGACAGAAGCTGGGACAAGTAACGGGAGCTCACCTCATTACGCTGCACTAGGGATTCGAACCGCTGAACTGCCGACCTTTCGATCGACAAGCTCAGCGTCTTAGTCCCTGAGCCACCGCATCCCCTTTTTTAAACTTTAGTTAAGGTTTTTGGAAGGGAGAGTAGATGGGTGTTTGTGGTTTAGGGTATTACACAAATCCAGAAAGTGAATTAATTCATAATTAGATCCCCTTTGTTATGAGAACCAAGCTGCAAACTTAGTCTACCATCTTTTAGATTGGTTGATATGGTCTATGTGGCCTATGAGTGCAATATGGGTTTGCTTTGATTTTGATTATGTAAAGATTCAGTGTAGTACATTAGTCCAGAAACTGGTTAGTTAAATAATTAGGTAAATGAATTGTGTGGAAGTATTAGGACCAGTCTTGAAATTACCTGAATAAAACAAGAAGGAGAGGAGACAGACATCATTTGATTCACAGAGCCCTTGAAGGGCAAATGCTTTATGGCGGTGGTTTTTGTGGGAATTGAAGGAACTGGGTCCATTCAGTAAATCCAGGTTCAGTTTGCTATGTTGTACCAAGATAGCTCTTCAGTGTTTTAAAATCCTCGGAGGAAAAGTCGAATCTAAGCGGAATATAGTAAATATTTCATGCCACATTTGTAGCAGTGATATCCAAGGACTAGGAAGAGTGCTGTTCCATTATGTTGACTTCTGGCATTTGACACAGTAGAATGTCCAGACTGTTGCAATGTACACATTGAAGGGAAGACACACGCATACACATACAAACGCACCCCTCAGCTTTGGCATCTCTACAAAACGTGGAATGCTGGTTGTAATCTCTTGAATCAATAACAGGAGTGGCAAGAAGGTCAGGAATGAAAATATCATGTTTTGGAATCTGTCCCATGAAAGAGAAAAATGCTTTGAACATTGAGATGTTTTGTAAGCCTACAGCCTTGGGGATCTGATACCACCCTGCTGCTGCCTAGGGGTGTGGAAATGTGTGTAGACTCCACCACTTGTCCTCTTGCAGCCTGCATATTCATCAATAAAAGGATTGCAAAACTTGCTCAAGTTCCTGCTAAATCCTAAATCTATTCTGAAAATTGTTGTTACTTTGAGAAATGGACAAGAGGAAAGGATATTGTTGATTGAATAGATCAGTATTTCTCAGTGGTGAAATCTATTTTTTTTTTTACTACCGGTTCTGTGGGTGTGGCTTGGTGGGCGTGGTGTGGCTTGGTGGGCGTGGCAGGGGAAGGATACTGCAAAAGCTCCATTCCCACCCCACTCCAGGGGGAAGGATATTGCAAAATCCCCTTTCCCTCCCCACTCCAGGGGAAGGATACTGCAAAATCCCCATTCCCTCCCCACTCCTGGGGGAAGGATATTGCAAAATCCCCATTCCCTCCCCACTCTTGGGGGAAGGATATTGCAAAATCTCCATTCCCCCCCCCATTCTGGGGCCAGCCAGAGGTGGTATTTGCCGGTTCTCCGAACTACTCAAAATTTCCGCTACCGATTCTCCAGAACCTGTCAGAACCTGCTGGATTTCACCCCTGGTATTTCTCAATCTTGGCAATCTTAAACTGTGTGGACTTCAACTCCCAGAATTCCCGAACTGGTATGCCGGTTGGGGAATTCTGGGAGTTGAAGTCCACACAGCTTAAAGTTGCCACGTTGATAAACATTGGAGTAGATACTCTGCGGGGTAGGGTTCAAAATAGAAAAATGGTAGGTTTGACGCTGCAATGTAAGTTCAACCTCTTCTTCGTATGTGTCTTTCACAACATATCTAAAAAAGTGGAGCTCCAATCATACTGTTGTGGCTGCTCATCTTAAACTTTTTACCCTCCTTGTACCACTGCTCCTCTTGCTCTGTTATTGACAAGGGTTGAGTGTCTCCATTCCAAGTTGCCATAAAGGAGAACAACCATTTTGCGGAAAGTTTTATGGAACAACAGTTCCTGCTGTGGGGGATCTGGTTGGGATCTCAGAATGTTCATAGCCCTTCCCCCACACCCCATCACACTTTTCCTACGACTCCTGGGAAAATTGTTGTTTTTATTGAGTGATTCATTCTCTTTCTGCTTTCCTCTGCAGATCAACATGGCCATCAATGAAGTGCTCCCTTCCCATTTCAATGCTGCCGATAAATGGTCTGGGATGATCCATGAGCCTCTCGATCAAGGCAACTGTGCGGGATCCTGGGCCTTTTCCACAGCAGGTAGCAACCCTTGGATGCAAATGTGACAGCCTGAGCATAGAATCATAGAATCCTAGAACTAGAAGGAACCTTAGAGGTCTTCTAGTCCAACCCTTGCCCAACATAGCAGTCCTTATACCATTTAGACAAATGACTGTGCAGGGTAAGTAGGGTAAGTTGTCCTCCACTGTGGTGTGCAAACTATTGTCTGCTTCTGTTGTGGTCCACCAGCAGCCCACAGAGCTAGCAGCAGAGTCGGACAGTGAGGAGGCTGCGGAGGACCATGGGCCAGTCCTGGAGTCTGGAGAAGGCCCAGATGAGGGCTCTGCGTCAGAGGCAGAGATGGGGCCAGGCCATCTGGGAGTGATTTGCGGACTCCGGAGCCTCCAGAGTTGGACAGCAGAGAGGCAGAGGAACAGGAGGAGCCTGTTCCTAGTGCACGCATGCGCAGAGCTGCCAGAAGGCAAGAGCAGCTAAAGGAAAAGGGACGACTCAGGAGTAAGGCCAGGAGATGATTGGCCCCTCCCATAAGGCTTAAAAGAGCAGCAATGGCTCTTGGGCTCTTCGTAGGAAAGCAACGTTGCTAAATCTGTTTTCTAGTCGGCATCTCTTGTTTCTGAACTTTGTGGGGCTTTGCCAAGAAAGGCCTTTGGCAGGATGCCAAAGGAGATAAAGGCTTGTGATAAGCCCGAAGGACTTTTTCTGAAGGACTTGTTTTGGAATTAATTTGGACTAAGCTGGGAATGAAGTAATTCTCAGCTGTTATAATAAAATAGTTTTGTTTGAGACTAATTGTGTCCTATAATGACTAAGTGAGCCTAGGTCACAACAGCTTCTTATGCCCTTTGAGGGCTCTCAAAATATTTTTTTTTTTAAAAAAAATACATCCTCCAAACCTATTCCAACTTCATAGGTGGTATGGCCCCCACCCACTTGGTGGCATGTAGCTCCTTAAGGCATGAATGACTGGCCTTGGCCTTCAAAAGGTTGCCAGTTCTCATTTCCTACTTAAGCACATTGAAAGACAGACTTATGAGATAGTCCTTGATTTACAATCCATTCATTTAGTGATCATTTGAAGTTCCAACGACATTGAAAAATGAGATTTACAACCGGTCCTGGCACCTATGATCCTCGCAGTAACCCCATGGTCACATGATCAAAATTGGGATGGTAGGCAATTGGCATGTATTTACAATGATTGAAGCATTCTGGGGTCAGGTGATCTTGATTGGTGACCTTCAGAGCAGTGGTGGGTTCCTCCTGGTTTGGCCCGGTTTGGCCGAGCGAGTAGCGGTGACGATATGACGTCACCGAACCGGTTCTCTTTGTTCGGGAGCTGGGCCCTCCCGCCCCCCTCCGCCCCCCCATGTTATTCTTACCTTTTATTTGGCCCCAGCCCCAATCTATTGCTGCCTCCTGAGTTCCAGCTGATCAGCTAGAAGGGAAAAAAATGTTTAAACTCTTGCCGCGGGGCTTCAAAGGGCCGCCCTATAGCTGATCAGTATTAAAAGGCAGTGTGGTGGTAGACCAGTGCCTCCAAAAACAAATGAGTAGACCGGTGCCTCCAAAAACAAATGAGTAGACCAGTGCCTCCAAAAACGAATGTGTAGACCAGTGCCTCCAAAAACAAATGAGTAGACTGGTGCCTCCAAAAACAAATGAGTAGACCAGTGCCTCCAAAAACAAATGAGTAGACCAGTGCCTCCAAAAACAAATGGGTAGACCAGTGCCTCCAAAAACAAATGAGTAGACTGGTGCCTCCAAAAAACAAATGAGTAGACCAGTGCCTCCAAAAACAAATGAGTAGACCAGTGCCTCCAAAAACAAATGAGTAGACTGGTGCCTCCAAAAACAAATGAGTAGACCAGTGCCTCCAAAAACAAATGAGTAGACTGGTGCCTCCAAAAACAAATGAGTAGACCAGTGCCTCCAAAAACAAATGAGTAGACTGGTGCCTCCAAAAACAAATGAGTGACCAGTGCCTCCAAAAACAAATGAGTAGACTGGTGCCTCCAAAAACGAATGTGTAGACCAGTGCCTCCAAAAACAAATGAGTAGACTGGTGCCTCCAAAAATGAATGTGTAGACCAGTGCCTCCAAAAACAAATGAGTAGACCGGTGCCTCCAAAAACAAATGAGTAGACCGGTACAGCTCTGCAAGCAGTTAAAAGCCTGGTAGACCAGTACCTCTGCTAAATCCTAAAGAATTGTCACATGACCATCAAGCCACACCCACAAAATAAGCAATGCCCACAGAACCGGTAGTAAAAAAATTTAGAACCCACCCCTGCTTCAGAGGCTTTGCTTCCGACAAGCAAAGTCATTGAGGGAAGCCAGATTCGCATAACAAACCTGTGCTTCACTTAACAATGTGGCAAAAAAAAAATGGTCATGAAATTGGATTTGACCAGCTAAGCAACTGACTTGCTGAACAGTGGAAATTCTGGTTCCAATTATGACTGTAAGTCAACGAGTATCTATACTCAGTCCATTTATAGCTCCATATCATCTGCACCTGAATCAAATTACAGGGCCCTCAGTTTCTTTGGACTTGTTGACTCCAAAGACTTGTTGACTTCCAGGAGAATTTCTTCTTCCTACTTAGCCTTGATTGGCTTCTGAAAATCTCTTAAGTACTTGCAGGGTCTAGAGCAGGGGTGAAATACTCCCAGTTCAGACCAGATCACCCGATCCAGTAGCGATGGCGGCGGGTAGTTCGGAGAACCAGTAGCAAAAATCCCTGCCCCACCCCCCATGCCCAGCTGAGCCGCGCGATCATCAGAGGCTGAAAAAAATGCTTTTAAAAGCCTCTGACGATCCCAGCTGAGTTGCCTGATCATCAGAGTCTTTGAAAAACATTTTTTTTTACAACCTCTTAGGCTGAAGAGGCTGTAGAAAAAATGTTTTTAAAAGAAAAAAAAAGCCTCTGATGATCAGGCAACTCAGCTAGGATCATCAGAGGCTTTTAAAAGCATCCTCTTCGGAAGAGGTTGTAGAAAAAATGCTTTTAAAAGTTAAAAAGAAAAAGTTGGCCACACTCACTCAGTCACATTACCCCCCCCAAGCCACGCCCACAGAACCGGTAGAAACAAATTTTACATTTCACCACTGGTCTAGAGATACATATGGATGTGTTTTGCATTAGCCTTCTGAAGCACGATCCGATTCCTTTTTCTCATGCTTATGGACTTGCACTTCAAATGTTTTTGTCCCTCTCTTCACTGACCTTCAGTTCCCCCTTTCCTGTTCTTCAATCCTGGATCTGCAGCTGGAGAGTTGGATGGAAGGAACACAACAGGTTTCTAACCACAAGTTTCTTTTTTCTCTCCAGCGGTGGCCTCTGACCGGATCTCGATCCACTCCATGGGACACATGACACCTGCCTTGTCCCCCCAGAACCTGCTGTCTTGCAACACTCGCCACCAACAAGGTTGCAATGGAGGCCGCGTGGATGGAGCCTGGTGGTTCCTGCGCAGGAGGGGGTGAGTGGTCGATGGTCCTTTTCTGCAAATGAGCTTGGGACAATTCGGATTTTTATGTGAGGCCAGCAGCATGGAAATAGTGAAAGGGACATTCATTTCCAAGAGTACAACATACTAGACTAGACTATGGCTGGAACCATTGGTGGGTTTCAAATTTTTTTACTACCGGTTCTGTGGGTGTGCCTTGGTGGGCTTGGCATGGCTTGGTGGGCATGGCAGGGGAAGGATACTGTGAAATCTCCATTCCCAGCCCACTCCAGGGGAAGGATACTGCAAAATCCCCATTTCCTCCCGATCAGCTGGGACTCGGGAGGCAGCAAATAGATGGGGGCGGGGCCAGTCAGAATTTTTACTACCTGTTCTCCAAACTACTCAAAATTTCCACTACCGGTTCTCCAGAACTGCTGAAGCCCACCTCTGGCTGGAACTAAGGAGAAATTTCCTGACAGTGACAACAATTAATCAATGGAAAACTTAACTCCCAGAGTTTTGGATGCTCCATCACTGGAGGGCTTCAAAAAAAAAAAAAAAGATTGGACAGTCATTTCTCCAGGACGGTGTAAGGTCTCCTTGGGCAGGGGGTTGGACTAGAAGACCTACAATGTTCAATCCAACTCTGTTGTTCTGTATTCTGTATGGCAATCTTTGGTTTCCTGCAGAAGTTCAGGAGAAAGATGTTTAGAGAACAAAGGGTAGAGGGTGGACAGCATATGATTCTATGGTTCAATGGCTTTGTGTTAGTCAACAGTCTGGATCACATTTTTCTAGGTTGCTATTTATCACCATGATCTTCAAGCACTGCTAAGCTAGCTCACAAACAGTTTGATCTTTGGAAGTGAGCCTGGTCATGAGTCCTGAGTTCCAAGACACCTCCAAACTATTCTCTTTTCTCCCTTGGGCCTTCTAGGGTGGTGACCGATGAATGCTACCCCTTTACCAGCCAGGAAAAGGAGAGCTCTCATGCTAGTCCACCTTGCATGATGCACACCCGGTCCACTGGCAGGGGGAAGAGGCAAGCCACAGCACGTTGCCCCAACTCACAAACTGACTCCAATGAGATCTACCAATCCACACCTGCATATCGTCTCTCCTCAAATGTAAGTCCTGCCTTTTCTTTCTTTCTTTCTTTCTTTCTTTCTTTCTTTCTTTCTTTCTTTCTTTCTTTCTTTCCTTTCTTTCTTTTTCTTTCTTTCTTTCTTTCTTTCTTTCTTTCTTTCTTTCCTTCCTTCCTTCCTTCCTTCCTTCCTTCCTTCCTTTCTTTCTTTCTTTCTTTCTTTCTTAGCATGCTGGTAAAATCTCTGAGGAGGGGTCAGGGTCTATGGGAAATGGAAATAAGACTAGGCATTGTTATTTGATTTAAGTAGAACACTGCAGGGGTGAAATGCTCCCGGTTCAGCTCGATTTGCTGGTTCGACGAATCGGTAGCGACGGCAGCTCAAGGCGCTGCCCACCCGCCCAGCCATTGTTACTTCCTGGTTTTAACCAGGAAGTAACCTGTTTTTTACCCTCTGCACATGCACAGAAAGGTTTGCGCATGCACAGAGGGTCGGCGCGCACATTTGATGCACATGCACATGCGAGTGAAGCTAGCACCCGCGGGGCGCATGCCCTTCCAAACTGATAGGGAAGGTAAGTAGATTTCACCCTTGGAGGAGTGATCAGCAAATCAAATTTATTACAGTCTTTGATCAATCTTTATAATAAAAAGGGTATAATAAAAAAGTGAACTAGTTTACAGCAACAATTTGCTATTGGGGAAGGAAAAAATTAATAGGACAATAAAACAACATCTCTAATTAAAGGTTTTGCCAAAACAACAGCATTTATTTCTGGTTTTTTAGCAAAACTGGCCCATAGTGAATAGTTGGTTCACTTAACAAACACAATAGTCACTTAACAACTGCAATTGTTGCTTAACAACCATGGTGTTTGCTTAACGACTGCTTCAAAAATGATAGTAAAATGGGTAGGTCACATGGGTGACCTATAGCACTTAGCAATAGCAGTTAGACTTATATACCACTTCACAATGCTTTACAGCCCTCTCTAAGCGGTTTACAGAATCAGCCTATCATCCCCCAACAATCTGGGTCATTATTTTATTGACCTTGGAAGGATGGAAGCCTGAGTCAACCTTGAGCCATGTCAGGATCGAACTGCAAACTGCTGGCAGCTGGTAGTCAGCAGAGATAGCCTTCAGTACTGCATTCTAACCATTGTTCCACCACCATTCTTATGGTCATATGTTAAGGATTACCTGTAGTCAGTGGCTTAACTCCACTAAGACTGGGAGAATATGGTCACCCATTTTGATACAGCATGTCAAAACTGGATGCACCAGGCTCTATTTTGGTAGGACAATGGGCTACCTAAGCCCAGCAAAGCAAGGAACTCTGAAATTGAACCTGCCCCTGAGCTAAGTTTTTGCATCTCTGAAAACTTATGTTGAAATTCTTGGGAGAAAAGTGAAGAAAGTTAAGGGAGTCCTTGGTAGTCTCCATTATTAAGTAATATCAGCATGATTATATATCAATTTTCAGTTCAATCAGGCACTCTCTAAATGCCAGTATTACAGTATACATCAATCCCCTGACTAACCATGGGGGTTAATGATGATGATGGACACTGGGAAGCACCAAAGTAGAAAAACATGTTAATAGGATCAACTTGGCCCTTAAATTGATCAGAACATAAGCTCCTCGTCTAAGGAGAAGCCATGAGAAATAAATAATTGCTTTTGATTCTCTACTGATCTAACATCTGTCATTTCTTTGCAGGAGAAAGAGATCATGAAGGAGTTAATGGAAAATGGACCTGTGCAAGGTGAGGCTCTCTGAAATACCCATCAGGGTGGAAAGACACACAAAGGAGAAACGATTTGTACTGCAAAGCGGTGGCTGAGTTGCCCCTTTATTAGTAAAATATCTGGGGTTTTTTTGTTTTTTTTTTTTTGGAAATGATTTATTTCAAGACTACTAAGAATCAAGAGATCGCTATGTAAATAATCCGTTGCAAGCTCCTCCAATGTCAGTGAGCAGACCTTCTTTCTCATGAGATTGTAGGAAGGTTGCCAGAAAGAAAATCAGAAGGTCTCTGCCCAGTGATGGGATTCAAGTAATTTAACAACTGGTTCTCCGCCCTAATGATTTCTTCCAACAACCAGTTTGCCAAACTGCTCAGAGGTTAACAACCGGTTCTCCCGAAATGATGCAAACTGGCTGAATCTCACCACTGTCTCTGCCCTAAAATTCACAGGGATGTAATGGTTTTAAATTGGAAATAATCCAGTGGCTGGAATTCTTGTAACCTTATTGACTTCATCTCAATAAATCTTACTAAAGAGAACTCCGTGAGAATTATGCATGGAAAGAATCTAGATAGCTAGAATAGATAGAATGTCTTTATTGGCCAAGTATGATTGGACACACAAGGAATTTGTCTTGGTGCATACGCTCTCAGAGTACATAAAAGAAAAGATACATTCATCAAGAATCATAAGGTGCAACACTTAATGATAGTCATAGGGTACAAATAAGCAATCAGGAAACAATATCAATATAAATCGTAAGGATACCAGCAACAAGGTTACAGTCATACAATCATAAATGGAAGGAGATGGGTGGTGGGAACGATGAGAAGGTTAATAGTAATGCAGACTTAGTAAATAATTTGACAGTGTTGTGGGAATTAGTTGTTAAGCAGAGTGATGGTATTCGGGGGAAAAACTGATCATGTGTCTAGTTGTTCTAGTGTGCAGTGCTCTATAGCGTCATTTTGAGAGTAGGAGTTGAAACAGTTTATGTCCAGGATGTGAAGGGTCTGTAAATATTTTCACAGCCCTCTTTTTGACTCGTGCAGGATACAGGTCCTCAATGGAAGGCAGGTTGGTAGCCATTGTTTTTTCTGCAGTTCTAATTATCCTCTGAAGTCTGTGTCTGTCTTGGGTTGCAGAACCAAACCAGACAGTTATAGAGGTGCAGATGACAGACTCAATAATTCCTCTGTAGAACTGGATCAGCAGCTCCTTGGGCAGTTTGAGCTTTCTGAGTTGGCGCAGAAAGAACATTATTTGTTGTGCTTTTTTGATAACGTTTTTGATGTTGGGTGTCCATTTTAGATCTTGCGATCTAAGAAAGCTAATTCCAGCAATATTTTTTTTTTGTATTTAACTTATTTATTCCCATACAGACATTCTAATTTTCTTTGTAACAGCCTGCTTATGATTTGGTGAAGTTATGCTCACCTATAATGGAGAAGTTTGCAGCTAACTATTTACCCAACAGTCTCTCAAATCTTAAGCTGCTTAGAAAGCAACAATCCACTTTTCTGTTCTCCAGAAGGCAAAAGGAAATATCCTTGAATTGGGCTATAACAGAAAACCAAAGACAACATAATATTAAATAAATGAAGGAGTCAAAGGAGATCTGTTTTTTTTTAAGGAGCCATTCTTAGCCACAGATAATTGACTATCATTGGATTCCCACAACATGCTGAAGCCTAAACCTGGGTGAACAAAGGCCGGCTGGGCAAGAAAGTGGTGGCGCCTAGCAAAGCTTGGTTGGGCTCAAAATTAACCAGGATTTAACTGGTTCTCATTTCAGTGGGAAATGGAAAATACCAGGGCTGTCTACCAAGGAAATACCAAGAAAGCCAAAAGAACAAAAACTCCAGGAAGAAAGCAATAAGAAAACTTTTCCATAATGTTATTAAAAACCTGTGTGGACTTGCCCAGGAGGTCACCAGGAAAAGGAAAATGAGCAACACTCTCTCTGGACAGTCATTTGCAGCCATAGTAATCTGGGCCAATAATGAATCAGGAAACAGCCCAGGCTTGCTTCTAAAACCTCTCAGGATTAAATACCACTGGCATTATGGCAACTCAGAAGCAAGCTGAGGAAACAAACTTTCCAACCTGTTGGATGCCCAAAGCTGTTCTTTGCATGCTATTTTAATGCTTTTTGGTTGGAACAGTCCACAATATTCCTGTGACCCAGTGGTGAAATCCAATTTTTTTTACTACTGGTTCTGTGGGCGTGGCTTGGTGAGCGTGATGAGGCTTAGTGGGCATGGCAGGGGAAGGATACTGCAAAATCTCCATTTCCTTCCCACTCTGGGGCCAGCCAGAGGTGGTATTTGCCGGTTCTCCAAACTACTCAAAGTTTCTGCTACCGGTTCTCTATCAGAACCTACTGGATTTCACCCTGCTGTGACCCTCCTGCCCCTCCTCCGTCCCACTTCCTTAAGTGGGCATCCTTAACTTTCCAAGGTTGGGTTCTTATGAGTTGAATAGAATAGAATAACAGAGCTGGAAGGACCTTGGAGATCTTCTAGTCCAACCCCCTGCCTAGGCAGGAAACCCTACACCACTTCAGACAAATGGTTTTCCAACATCTTCTTAAAAATTTCCAGTGTTGGGGCATTCACAACTTCTGCAGGCAAGTTGTTCCACTTATTAATTGTTCTAACTGTCAGGAAATTTCTCCTTAGATCTAAATTGCCTCTCTCCTTGAACTGGGGAAAACCAGACATCTTGGAAATCGGGGTGGAAGATACCCTAAGGTGCAGTTATGGCTGATCTTTAGAAGCTTGTTGGTGGTTCATCTTGAGAGGGCTAAATTCTGCTCTTCAGGTTTCTACAACTGCATGAACAAAGGGTGCAAAATGTTTTGTCTGGTCAAGGGTCATTAAGCTTGGGTACCTTGATGGGGAAGGCAAGAGAGCACAACTGCCACCAATAGGCCAAATTTCTTGACCATAACAAGGTCCTTCCTGGTTCCACCTTCTATGCAAGCAACAAAGTCTTCTGTATGTCATGGCCCTATGCATCGTCCTCTTTGGTGCAAGAAGTATAGAAACTGGTTGGAGAATTCGATGAGCTCTAGACGTTTTCCCAGTTCCCTAACTTTTGTAGTGTGGGTGAGCCCAGAAATATTGGTATTTGAGTTATGAAGAATAGAGTGCTCATGTCAGATCCTTTTCTAGCCTAGATCCATAATTTACCTCCTTTCCATTCCTCTGCAGCCATCATGGAAGTGCATGAAGACTTCTTTGTGTATCAAAGTGGGATTTATCAGCATACTCCAGTAGCAGCTGGGAAGCCAGAGCAGTACCGTCGACATGGTACCCATTCTGTCAAAATTACTGGGTGAGTGAGATCACTAGAAGTCAATGAGAAACCCAAATCCAAGGTGTCCCTTTGTGAGTGAATACTTTGTCTAATGAGAAATGTCAAAGTTGTGTTTGCTTTGGCACTGCGGTTCCAGCAGTAGATAACAGTGTCAGGAAAACTCAAAACTACAGTTAGTTTTTGACTTGATTTATGATGTTTTTGCTGAAATCCAGCATTTATTTCCAGTTTTCAGCAAAAATGCCTCATAATGACAATGGGTTTGCTTAAGGACCATAGCATTAACAACCACGGCGTTTGCTTAATGACCATCACAAAAAAGTCATAAAATCAGGTCAGTCATATGGGCAGGTTCTATTACCATTGTAAGTTGAGTGCTTGTTGTTGTTAGTTGTGAAGTCGTGTTCGACCCATCACAACCCCATGGATACATTCCTCCAGGCCTTCCTGTCCTCTACCATCCTCTGGAGTCCATTTAAGCTCACGCCGACTGCTTCAGTGACTCCATCCAGCCACCTCGTTCTCTGCCGTCCCGTTCTTCTTTTGCTCTCAGTCTTTCCCAGCATTAGGCTCTTCTCCAGTGAGTCTACCTGCATATATGAAATTATGGGCCTTCTCTGGAGGTTTGTAGCTTTATTTACATCTGGCTTTTCTCAAATTCATCATCCTACCAATTATTTATTGGCCCTAGAAATGTGTTAGAAATTCATTATTTTCCTGTTCTAGAGCAATAAATTTTGCTCTCTGTCTACCCCAATCCAGTCTTTCAGAACCAGCCAGAACTCTGTTTCGACTCTATCGATATTTTTAATACTGTCAGGTTTCGATATCGTCTCAAATAAAATAAATTGCATTTCCAAACAGATAGTCTTTGAAGAAATCTTTCATTTTATTAAGCATGACAATCTGCCCCCGATCATGTCGTAGCCAACTCTGACTTCCTGACCCCAAAACTTCCCTTTCCGTTCCCCAAATCTCTGCGTCTCATTGGCCTTCTTCCTAATCACTCTCCCCATATCTACTACTTAAGCTCCCAGGAATGTCCTCCCCTCCCTCTCATCTCCTAGGGGATATTATCTTCAAGGAAAATAAGTAGGTGAAATGTCAAGCGTCCTCTTGCCAGCTGCCCCCTCTGCCCCCTCTCTACAGCACTAGAGTAAATGCAGGTTGAAGTGCTGACAAATACATTATAACAGTATACTACTTAGTATTTGTTAAAATTTCCAGGTGTCAATCCTAGGTGATTTATAACTTCATACTAACCCATTTTCATTGAGGAAACAAAAGGTAATGCAACTCCAAATGCAGGTAGAAATTTTGCAAAATGATAGTACTAATAAAAATGCATGTACACAAACACACATACTCTGTCTCATACATACTTAGTGTCACCTATAAAGAGCTGTGAGAGTGCAGTGATTAGAATGCAGTATTGCTGTCTGACTCTGCTCATTGCCAGGAGTTCGATTCTGACTAGCTGAAAGTTGACTTAGTCTTCCATCCTTCCGAAGTCGGCAAAATGAGGACCCAGATTGTTGGGGGCAATAGGCTGACTCTGTAAATCGCTTAGAAAGGGCTGCAAAGCACTGTGAAGCAGTATATAAGTCTAAGTGCTATTGCTATAAAAAAACAGGCAGATTTTCAACCACACCATCACAACCATAATTTTTACTTTTATACTCGTCCTTTGAGGACGCCCCTGTCTTCTACAAATCTGTTATATGTCTATGTTAGGATACTCTGTACATTCTGGTTGAAAAAGGACTAAAGCGACAATAACAGGCTGGAAAGGGGCAACTGGAACATTTTTAGTTAAGAAAAGGCTAGGAAGTTTGGGATCCTCCCACTTAGAAAAAGTCAACTAAAGATTGAAGTTGATCAAGTCATGTACGGCATGGAGTAAAAACATAGTTCTCATAGCTTTTTCTCTGTAACCAGACTGAGAGTCAGCTGGCAATGCTGAGCAAAAGATTTTAGACAGGCGAAATGAATAACTTCCTCTCACACTACACACCATTAACCTATGAGATGTGTTCCTTTATTGCCCCTTCTATATGACAGCTGAAAAGAAAGTCATTTATTTCTCTCTCTCTTCTCTATGTTCCTGGCCACCGTGATGAATTTATCTCAACCTGTTCATTTTAGATAGCTACTGTCACCCACACAATTGCCAGGCAGAGTCCTGCAGCTGTTAGCATCTGCCATTTACTGATAGCACATTGATAACAGGTGATTTCAAATTGATTTTTTAAAACAGTTTTTTTGGACAGCTTTTACACTACTGTTGTTTAAATATTCATTTTTTTAATCGTCCAGATTTATGTTCTTTCCTTGAAATACCTTTGCATTATTTTATCTGTAAAAGGTAAGTATTATCCCAAGATGAAATGATGATTACTATTCATTTGGATGGTTTAAAAACAGACTAGTTAGCTTGTTATTTATTTATTTATTAATTTATTTATTTATTTATTTATTTATTTATTTATTTATTTATTTATTTATTTATTTAATTAATTCATAGATTGCCCAACTCCATCCTGAGTTTGGGCAACATACAATATGAATGTAAAAGCATAGAATACATAAAATATAAAAATAACACAAAATTATCACAATCACTCTACAAAAATCTGCCATCTATTTTATTTATTTATCATTTTTTAACATTCTGCAGCAAATATACCTAATACTCTTTCTTCCTCCTATTTTTCCCACTGTGAGGTAGGTTGGGCTCAGAGAGAAAGATTGGCCAAAAGACACCCAGCTGGCTTTCACGACTAAGGGGGAACTAGAACTCACCATCTCCTGGTCATTAGCCCAAAGTCTTCCAGCCAATTTTTGTACCTAAGGTGGGGCTAGAATTCACCATCATTTTGGTGAGTGGTCCAAAGTCCACCTTTCTTGGTGATTGGTCAAAGTCACCCAGCCAACTTTCATATTTAAGTTGGGACTAGCTAGAACTCACCATCTCCTGGTTTCTAGGCCATCATCTTCACCACTACTCCAAATAGATTTGGTGTAAGCTTGGGGAAAGAGGCAGGTTTTAAGGGCTCTTTATTAATAATTCTTTATTGGCCAAGTGTGATTGGACACACAAGGAATTTGTCTTGGTGCATATGTTCTCAATGTACATAAAAGAAAAGATACGTTCATCAAGAATCATAAGGTACAACACTTAATGACAGTCATAGGGTACAAATAAGCAATCAAATCCTATTAGGAACAGTCAAGCCAAGTCATTCATTATTTAAAGAAGAAGGGATGTGGAATTTCAGATTGAAGTTAATTTATTTATTTATTTATTTATTTATTTATTTATTTATTTATTTATTTATTTATTGCGATTTATAATAAAGGTAAAGGTAAAGGTTCCCCTCGCACATATGTGCTAGTCGTTCCTGACTCTAGGGGGCAGTGCTCATCTCCATTTCAAAGCCAAAGAGCCAGCGCTGTCCGAAGACATCCGGCATGACTCAATGCCAAAGGTGCATGGAACACTCTTACCTTCCCACCAAAGGTGGTCCCTATTTTTCTATTTGCACTTTCAAACTGTTATGTTGGCAGAAGCTGGGACAAGTCACGAGAGCTCACGCCATTACATGGCACTAGGGATTCGAACCGCTGAACTGCCGACCTTTCCATTGACAAGCTCAGTGTCTTAGCCACTGAGCCACACCACGTCCCTTACTTGAAGTTAATAGGCTCCCTCAATATGATCAACAGGAGCTCACAGGGACCAGAAAATTGCTTGCTAAATCTAACCTTCCCTAAGCTGACAATCGCATTCTTTAAAGTTAGATTTAACGTTTTTCCCTCTGCACTTCATCAAGACAGATATGGTACAATCCCTGTGGCTGCCCCTATTAGCCCCTGTGATGACAAGGAGGTTGAAACCGTCTCACACGTCTTACAACATTGTCCTTTTTACAGAGACATTAGGTCAATCTACATTGTACCCTTAATAGATAAATAACCTGGATGGCCAGATCAATTTTAGATGAACTTTCTCCTTTAGGGTCTAAAACCATTGATTATGTGTGGAGTAGCTAAATGTTCTATTGCCTCAATGAAAGCAAGACATAACTGGTCTTTGCTAGCTGCTGATTTATTATATTTATTTGCTTCACTCTGATTTTGTTTGGTTGGTTCTTTTAAATTTTGCTGGTCATTTTCTGAATAAATATTATTAATTGCTAGAAATTGTTCTTCGAGGAGCATTAGGGGCAAAAAACCCACACAAATTAGAATTTCTCTGTCTAGAACTTGATCAAACTCGGTCATGAAAATGAAGCAGGCAGGATGGTCCGAAGCTGGTATTTATCTCTGTTTTGGTGCTGAGTATGGATGAAAGAGTTGGCCTGTTTTTATCTGCGTCGTGGAAAATATTTCGAATCTTTTGTGCTGTGAAATGCAGATGATTAAACCTTCTGGATCCCTGCCAAGAGTACAGTCTTGGCAGCTGGATTCCTCACAAGTCAGCCAACTTTCCTCCAATGATGCCTTCTATACACACACACACACACACACACACACACACACACACACACCACAGTTGCCTTTTAAAGGCAATCTTTGCATATCAGCTTCTGAACCATTTGGGCAACACTTGAGGGAAAATTTGAACTGGATTGCAGCAGATCAGGAAAGCTGCAAAGCGATAAGCCAGAGGTTCCCCACCACCACCACCACCAGACTTGGCAAATTTAAGATGTGTGGTCTTCAGTTCCCTGAATTTCCCAAACAGAGCTGCATTGTCCTCACATTGGTGATCACAAAAGCCATCCAGGAAAACACTCAGCATTTGCACAAAAAAGTAATGGATGGAGTGGCTCAGTGGTTAAGACACTGAGCTTGTCAATCGGAAGGTCGTCAGTTCAGTGGTTCGAATCCCTAGTGTCGTGTAATGGGGTGAGCTCCCGTGTCTTGTCCCAGCTTCTGCCAACCTAGAAGTTCGAAAGCACGTAAAAAATGCAAGTAGAAAAATAGGGATCACCTTTGGTGGGAAGGGAACAGTGTTCTGTGCACCTTTGGTATTGAGTCATGCCGGCCACATGACCATGGAGACGTCTTCGGACAGCGCTGGCTCTTCGGCTTTGAAACGGAGATGAGCACTGCCCCCTAGAGTCGGGAATGACTAGCACATATATGCGAGGGGAATCTTTACCGTTACCTAATGGATGGAGGCTTGTTAAAGAGAGGTCCAACTTTGAAGTAAGAAGAAATTTCCTGACTGGGAGAACAATTAATCAATGGAACAGCTTAACTCCCAGAATTAAGGGTGCTTCATCACTGGAGTTTTCAAAAATATACTGGAGAACCATTTGGCTGGGATGGAATTGACTGAACAGGGGATTGGAATAAAAGACCTCTGAGCTCCCTTCCAGCTCTATGATTCTATGTTGTAATCTGGAGAACTGAGCCCCTTGTACCACCACGCTACTTGGATGAGTTCAGGACAGTGTTTTCCAAACTTGGCCACTTGAAGATGGTGGACTTCAAGTTCTAGAATTCCCCAGTCATGTTTGAAATGTAGTGCTCTGAGGCAGAGGTGGGTTTCAGCAGGTTCTGACCAGTTCTGGAGAACCGGTAGCAGAAATTTTGAGTAGTTTGGAGAACCGGTAGTAAAAATACTGACTGGCCCCGCCCTCATCTATTCTCTGCCTCCAGAGTCCCAGCTGATCGGGAGGAAATGAGGATTTTGCAGTATCCTTCCCCTGGATTGGGGAGAGAATGGAGATTTTACAGTCTCCTTCCCCTGCCACGCCCACCAAGCCATGCCATGCCCACCAAGCCATGCCACTCCCACCAAGCCACACCCACAGAACCGGTAGTAAAAAATTTTGAAACCCACCACTGCTCTGAGGAAACCTTTGCTTCAGGCAGCCCATGTGCTTCATTTTATCCTGAATTCTGAGCTGCAGCAAATACAGGATTGTCCCGGTTACTCATTTCATCAAGAATATCAAAATGCTGCTATGCTCCTCTGATCAGCTGTGGCGCGCAACAATCGTGCGGCTCACCTGGGATCGTCAGAGGCTTTTTTTACCTTTTAAAAGCATTTTTTTTTATAACCTCTTCACGCGAAGAGGTTATAGAAAAAATGCTTTTAAAAGAAAAAAAAAGCCTCTGATGATCAGGCAACTCAGCTGAGATCGTCAGAGCCTTTTAAAAGTATTTTTTAAACAACTTCTTCGGCCGAAGAGGTTGTAGAAAAAATGCTTTTAAAAGTAAAAAAAGCCTCTGATGATCGCGCGGCTCAGCTGGGCATGGGGGAGGGGCAGGGATTTTGCTACCAGCCGCCGCCATCGCTACCGGATCAGGTGATCCGGTCCGAACCAGGAGCATTTCCCCCAAAGGTTCCTGACCAACTGTGGTTTGCAGCAGACCACTTGCACAGCGGGAAGTCAAGGTGAATCATGGAGAAGGAGTCTACCTGTGGGAATCTTATTTATTCAGGGTGTACAGGTAGTCCTTGAGTTACAACCGTAATGGAGCCTGTCCATCACGATTGTACCTCGTGGCAGTTTTAAAGCAGGTGTGTCATGTGACCCACCCAATTTTATAATCTTTTTGTGATGGTCATGAAGTGAATCGCTGTGGTTGTTAAGCAAATGGCTGCGTCAGTGTATAAGGGTTCATGAATTGGAATAGACATGGTAACAGGTCAGCCAATGGGGACTGTTTGGTGACCCAGATGGCTCGGAGCCTGGGCATGGCTTAGGTTCACTGATCTGTATATATACGAGTGCTTCTATGATTATATTGATTCTGTACTTCTGGATTCTGATGTCAGGTTTCGTTGCTATCTTAAATAAACTTCATTCTCAAACACAAGGTCTCTAATGAATCTTTTTATTATTTAAGAAGAGGAGAACGACATCCCTGAACTCTTTGTGCAGCCAAAACTGGCCCCTCCTTCCAAACCCCTCCCTTTCCGTTCTTCAACCCCAATGTCTCATTGGCCATCGTGCAGACCCATCTCTTCGTCCCAAGCACTTTCTTTTCACAGGAATTTCCCCCCTCCCTCTGTCACCCAGGTAACGCTATGTACTAAAGAGCAGGGAACTAGGTAAAAGTTCATCTCAGCATTAAAGCAAAGCTTCTCCCTCTTTCATTCATGTCAGCGCTGGAGGAGAACATAATTTGGAACGCTGACATCTGAGTTCTGGTTCTGGCTTTTGCTGCATGGGTATTGTATATAAAGAACTTTCTTACATAAATGGATCCTGCTGAATTGTTTACTTGTGTGCTGGTTGGATTGCTGCAAACTCTAACAGCTGCACTCATTAAGTGAAAGCTGAGGGTTTGTTATGGGCACATTTTGGCCGAAAACTGGAAGTAAATGTTGGTTTTCAGTAAAACAGTTGTAAAATGTGACCCCGGTGACCATGGGATGCTGCAAATGGCCGTAAATGCAGTCCGGTTACTAAGGCACCCAAAGTGCAATCACATGACGGGGGGGTGGGGCTGACTGTTGCAACTTCAAATCTGGGTTGTAAGTATCCCTCAAGTAGATCTGACGGAACCTGGAATGGTTGCTAAGTGACCAATCATTTTATTTATGTATTTATTTTTTCCTATTTCCTAACCATCCATCTTAAGGTAAAGACTACCTGTGTTTATTAGTAGAATTTATATATAGCCGAACTTGTTGAAAATGACTACATTTTAAAGGGACACAGTAAAATGGTTGGGCCTATGATCATAAATTATTCCAGAATTCTCACTGGAGGCTCAAATGTCCAGGCTCAAATTTTCCTTGTTTGAACACATTGTGTGAAAAGTTCTAGCTCTCTGGAGAAGTTTGTCATTCTGGGAAAGGTAGAAGGAAAGTGGAGAAAATTGATGATCGGCAGGAAATTGGATGGACTTTGTTATAGGGGTGATGGGTACAATGTTGGAAGATCTGAAGGACCAGATTAGGGACAGATTGTCATGAAGAAAATCCACGTAGCTGCTAAAATTTGAAGCAGTGATGATGGCACATTGTCAATATTGCCCATTGAGTCTGCATTTCTTTTAATTTTTCTATTCCATGTTCATTCCAGTTTCTTTTCCATGCTTTCGTGTATAGTTTTCAAAACTCCTAATATCCATCTTGAAAAGATTAGATTGCCTACTTCCTCTTTGTCTTCTCCATCTTGCAACCTTACAGATGTGTTAGCTGTTCATCTCATTTTTCCTTTTTTCCCTTTCCATGTCATTATTATTGGATTGTGGTCTGCCCATACATTTATTCCAATATCAATTTCTTGTATTTTAGCTATTAATTCTGTTGACATCCACATCATGTCTATTCTTGACCACGATAGATGTCTATTTGAGTAAAATGTGTACTGCTTTTCTTTTGCATGGCTTCGCCTCCAAGCATATTGTAGACTTAATTTATCTATCATTGTGGGAAAAGTTTTTGGCAATGTTTTTCTTATCTTCCTATTTAATTTTGTAGGTTTATAGTCCAACTCATTGTCCATTATTGCATTGAAATCCCCTAATATACATATCTCTTCATATTCATATTCTATTATTTTTTTATGTAACTCTTTTTTTTTTAAACCACAGATGGGGAGAAGAACGGAAGCCGGATGGGTCAAAAGGGAAATATTGGGTGAGTGCCATCACCAAAGATGTATTCCTTCTGTCAATAAGTTCACAATATCACAATTCAACACAGTTCACTTAACCAGGTCAGGCAGAGGTTTCCATCTAGAAACCCTCAGTGTTTCTCAGTCTTGGTAACTATAAGACACGTGGGCTTCAACTCAGTGGTGAAATCTAAAATTTGTTACTACTGGTTCTGTGGGCGTGGCTTGGTGGTGGTGGTGGGTAATGTGACTGGGTGGGCGTGGCCAATTTTTTTTTGGTAACTTTTAAAAGCATTTTTTCTACAACCTCTTTGGCAAAGAGGTTGTAAAAAATGCTTTCAAAAGGCTCTGACGATCCCAGCTGAGTTGCCTGATCGGCAGAGGGTTTTTTAAAAAGCCTCTGCTGATCAGGCAACTCAGCTAGGATCGTCAGAGGCATTTAAAAGAAAAAAAAGGGGTTTCTTCTTTTAAATGCCTCTGCTGATCCCAGCTGAGTTGCCTGATCAGCAGAGGCTTTTTTTCTTTTAAAAGCCTTTGATTATCCCAGCTGAGCTGCACAATCATCAGAGGCTTTTTTTTTACTTTTAAAAGCATTTTTTCAGCAGAAGAGGTTGTAGAAAAAATGCTTTTAAAAGTAAAAAAAAAAGCCTCTGATGATTGTGCAGCTCAGCTGGGAATGGGGGGGGCAGGGATTTTTGCTACCGGTTCTCCGAACTATCCGCCTCCATCGCTACCGGATCGGGTGATCCGGTCTGAACCGGGAGTATTTCACCCCTGGTTCACAATATCACAATTCAATACAGTTCACTTAACCAGGTCAGGCAGAGGTTTCCATCTCGGCCAGTGTTTCTCAGTCTTGGTAACTTTAAGCCACGTGGACTTCAACTCCCAGAATCCTCAGCCAATGCAAAGAATTCTGGGAGTTGAGGGCCATACATCTGGAAATTACTAGACTTCTGAAAAAATCTGGCCTATTATCCTAACTAGATTCCTTTAGTGACCAGAACTTATCCTTATCCTCAACTTACAACTGGTCATTTAGCGATTGTTCAAAGATATTATGGACCTCCCTATGGCAGTTCTGAAGTTCCAACATCTGGGTCTGTCCAGACCGCCCCCCTCCACAGACAATCACATGACTGCATTTTGGGTGCTCAGCATCCCTCCTGCATTTACAGCTGCTTGTAGTATGACCACATTTTACAACAGTTTTGCCAACACCAGCCCATAGCAAGCCATTGCTTTGATTAATGACCGCAGGGTTTAGTTAATGACCGCTGCAAAAAAAGGTCATAAAATTGAGTCAGTCACCTGACCCAATCACAATTTACAAACATGATGGACGGCTCCATTACAGTTGTAAATCGAGGACTACCTAGGACCATAATGGCGAACCTATGGCACGCGTGCCACAGGTGGCACGTGGAGCTATATCGGTGGGCACGTGACCTCAGCTCCGGTGTGCATGTGCACGCTGGCCAGCTGGTTTTCGGGCCTTTTGGGCCCACTGGAAGTCAGGAAAAAGACTGTTTCCGGCCTCCGGAGGGCCTCCAGGGGAGTTGGGAAGGCAATTTTTGCCCTCCCCAGCCTCCTAGAAAGGCTCTGGAGCCTGAGGAGAGCGAAAAATGGGCCTACCTTGCCATCGCATGCCAAAAGTGGGGGGAGCACGGGGGGCTGCAAATGCATGCACAGGGGGCAGGGGGCATAGAATTATAGGTGTGGGTACGCACGTGAGCAACCCCCCGCACTCCCCCCACTTTTGGCATGCGATGGCAAAAAGGTTAGCCATCATTGACCTAGGATATATGATACTTAATCTCTATAAGGAAGCTCCCACAAAACAATGCCTGTAACCAATTGAAATAAATAAATAAATAAATAAATAAATAAATAAATAAATAAATAAATAAAATGCCTGTAACAAATTACAGTATTGTTAAACAATCCAGATGTGTAGTGACATCATCATGAAATGTCACCATTGGTCCCAGGGTCTACAAATCAAGGCAATTACACAAATCAAGGTAATGGCATGAAGATATCATCACACCGATGCTATTATTCATTTCTTCCTTTCTCCTCTTAATTCAAGACCCCCCATTTGAGATGACATCCAGCGCCTTCGTCATAATTCTTGTTGTTGTTCAGTCAGGAAGGCGTGTCCAACTCTTTGTGATCCCATGGACCATAGCATGTCAGGCTCCCCTGTCCTCCCGTCTCCTGGAGTTGCCCAGATTCACGTTCATAGACACAGGGCTACACTGGTTTATTCATTCATGTTATTTATAGCCTGCCTTTATTTTTACAAATAACTCAAGGCGGCAAACATATCCAACATACCTTTCTCCTCTGGTTTTCCACACAACAACAACAACCCTGCGAGGTGAGGTGAGCTGAGATAGAGAGGCTGGCCCAAACCCACCCGACTGACCTCCGTAGCTAAGGTGGGCCTAGAACTCACAGACTGCTGCGTTCTATCTTGGTTCTTTAACCTCTAGACTTAGACTAACTTTATTGTCACTTTGAATGTACACTAATCAGCATACATTAAAATAAAATCTTGTACCACATAAACATGACTAAATAAATAAATATGCATATACCCACATATATTATATGACATAGAGAAACAATACGGTCTAGTTCGGATGTATACATGTACATGGCAAGAGGGGAGAAACAGAAACAGACCATGAAGTGGGCGTGTGGGGTTTCTAACAATGCTCTGAGCTCAAAGCACATGGAGCTTATAAGCAGTATCCTGAATAACGAGAAGCGAGCTTCCTATAATCTTCTCCACTGTCCTCACCACTCTCTGTATGGACTTTCTATCTGAGGCACTGCAGCCACCAGACCAAATAGGGATGCAGTTTGTTAAAATGCTCTCAATTGTGCCTCTGTAGAAAGTGGCCAGGACAGGAGGAGAAAAATGTGCTCTCTTCATCCAACGTAGGAAATGCAGATGCTGGTTTACATGCTTCACTAAGGATGACATGCGGAGAGACCAATTCAGATGATTAGTTATCAAACTGGCTCTCACTATTGATCAATGGTTCCCTATTGACCTGTGCTTGAGGGTTGTTGTAAGCATTTTAAAAAGTATACAAATGTAAAACTCCAGTATTAGACAAACATCAATGCTCTTCTGTTGGAAACCCCTTTCATAGCCTATTCTCTCTCTGTCTTCAGATTGCAGCCAACTCCTGGGGCAAGGCGTGGGGTGAACATGGCTACTTCCGCATTGCCAGAGGAATCAATGAGTGTGAGATCGAATCCTTTGTGGTGGGCGTCTGGGGCCGGGTTGGAATGGAAGATATGCACCACAAGAAATGAGAAGATTGGACCCTTCAACCTTGCATTGTGATAACAGGAAGAATTTCTTTCCTTCTGTTGGCCCTATGTTTCCTTCTCCTCAAAGCATCTGGTATCTAGAACAGTCACAGGACACAACTACTATGGGTTTGGCCTCCAAAGACTTTGTCTCTGTTCTGGGGGAAGCCTAGAACCATCATGTGGATTTTGGACCTGGGAAGTCTTTGGAGGATCCTTCCTCAGATGGTGGGGAGGAAAAACCTGAGAACTTCTGAAATGGCTACCAAAGTGCTAAACAGTTTCTTGCAAAGGACCAAGAGAAGATATCCAATCTGACATTTTGTTATGTATAACTCACATACCCACAACCAAAGGGACCTGGAGATATCAGAAGCAAACCTTGCCAGGATTCCCTACCAAGGATGGAAAGTTGCAGGTAATCTGAAGAAACCTGCTGACTGGGAGACCAACCAACATATATTTTTTAAAGTCTTTCCTGTGATCTACCTTACAGAACCTTCTTGGAAGTGATGACCTCTCTAGCATGACCTTCCCCAGAGGCAACCATGGTAAAATAAAGAGTTGTCATCCTCTTGGGCCAAATTTTCAAGCATCTCAGGTAGTAAATCTACGGATGAGTGGCTTTTTAGTCCTAGCAGGTATGTCTGGCCATGGACTCCAAAATGGCGGATGAATTAGATGAAAGAAACCTTGCCTCATTTTATGTGTCTGCAACATGTCCTAAGAGTTTCAAGAATAGCTATATAGGCTGAAATCAACCCATTTCGATAGAGGCCAAGCTTAGCCTTGGGGGAGGCTGGCTTAGCCTTGATTTTCTGTCAACATGGAACAAGTTGTTTCTTGCCGATCCTATCTTAGAACATAGAATGACAGGACTAGAAGAGACCTCAGGGCAGGGGTGAAATCCAGCAGGTTCTGACAGGTTCTGGAGAACTGGTAGCGGAAATTTTGAGTAGTTCGGAGAACCAGCAAATACCACCTTTGGGTGGCTCCAGAGTGGGGTGGGAATGGAGATTTTGCAGTATCCTTCCCTTACCATGTCCACCAAGCTACACCATGCCCACCAAGCCACACCTACAGAACTGGTAGTAAAAAAAATTTGGATTTCACCACTGCCTCAGAGGTCTTTTTTTTTTTTTTTTTAATTTGATTTATATGCCGCCCTTCTCCGAAGACTCAGGGCGGCTTACAATGTGCTCAGCAATAGCCTTCATCCTTTTGTATATTTATACAAAGTCAGCTTATTGCCCCCACAAACTGGGTCCTCATTTCACCTACCTTAGAAAGGATGGAAGGCTGAGTCAACCTTGAGCCTTGGCGAGATTCGAACCCTGCAGTAATTGCAGGCAGCTGGTCTTAAGCAGCTTAATAACAGGGTGCCTTAAACCCTAGTACTACCAAGTCTTCTAGTTTAACCCCTACTCAAGGCAGTAATCAAAGTAATCAAAGTGAAATAAGTATCTGATACCCTTTAGGCCACACCCGCCTTTCTCCAACAGTCCTTCTCAGCTAGGTTGGGCTTCCGAGCCCCACAATTTCTAACATGGCCATCTATGGACATCAAGGCACAAATCTCTGGAGAGCACCAGGATGAGGTCAAGCTGCTTTGCTTGTGTGTCATGACAATGGAAGGAGGACTTCCTGTGTTTCTTAAGCTTCCTGGTTCAGCCCACCATGAGGTATTGCTGCCCCAAAGACAATGCAATTCCACCACAGCTTCAGCAGCTGGGTGCTTTGCCAAAGTCCTTCAGTTGACTTTCTAAGCCTAAAGCTCAAATCAGCCCCCAGGCCACCTGTTTTAGGTCCATCTCAACTGGAAAATAGGAGGAAATTCTCCTCCTCCTGTCTCTCCTCTGCCTGGTTTCAACTCCCATGGATTTTTTATTTTTATTTTTCCCATTTCCCTGCCGCGTAGCTGAAAGCCCACTTTTGCTGAGTCCGATGACTCGGGTGCACCATCATGGCTCTGACCCATCGTGAAAACTTTTATCCTCCTGCCTGAAGCCACTCTCCATTTACCCCACTGCCTTTCCTCTTTTTCTTTTCCTTTTTCTCTTTTGATTTTGGATGCCCGTCTCTGCACCTTCCGTGCTGGCGTGAGAGTCTCTGGCTGCTAAGCCTCCCTTGGCTTAGCGGCCCTTTGTTGAGAACTTAAGGCTGCTGAAAGGGGAGGCCTTCAGCCAGCCAGGCAGGTTGGTTTTGTCCCATTCTGCAAACTTTGCAAGCGCCAGTGTAAACACCGAGCGGCTGCCATTTGTCTGAAAGAAGCGGAAAAAAAAGCGCATTAAAAGGCCCGTGTTCACGCATGACCGAGGCAGGGAGCTTTGGAAGAAGTGCCTGTGCTAGCAGTCCTCCCATGGAGCCGGAAAACTCTTTTATGTGAGGATGAAGGGAGAAAATGGAGCTTCCTCTCCTAATACCTGATCAAAGCAGAGATTAGGGGAATCTCGGCCTAGTTGTCCTGGGGGGGAGGGGGGGGAGACGGGGACCAATCAAGGTTAGCTTTCAGGCTGCAATTAGAAGCTGGTCTAATGGGCTGCTTAGCTGCCTGCATTTGAAAGAAGAGGAACTTCCCTTGATGCTTTCAACTTGGTTACTGAAAACACCCATTTTATGGATTGGAACAATTGGTAGAAAGCCCACAAGATGGACTTGTACTGTATGCTAAGCTTCCAAAGGACAAAATCAAATGAAAACCAATGCAAGGAAGCATGGTCCCTAAACGCAGCTGCTAGATTTGTAACAGATCCACTGAAACATAATTGTGCAAAGCAGGATAAAAAGCTAGCTTTATCAGGCTGGGCTTGAATCTGTCCTGTCCTAGTAAGCTTTCTCAATGCGGGGCGTTTTTATGCCTATTTAAATATATAAATATATAAAATTTATATTTTGCTGATAAAGAAATAAAGGGAGAGTAGTGTAGACCTATTTCAAGCTATTTAGCTCTCATCAGCTAGCCATACCCTTACCTGGATTTGAACTTGGGCTTCCTGCATGTTAGGTAGTTGAATTAACCTCTGAGCCACAAGAGCTCTCGATAGAAAAACACTTAATATATATATTATTATTTGGTCTAATTGGCCTTCATTTGACCAATCCAGGCCAAACAAAGATGAATTTCCTTCCGGTGAATTGAAACAGGGCTGTAGACATGCAACCACCATCCACAGGCAGCCGTAATTCCATTTTAGGTAAGTTTTGCAGCCACTAAGTTTGGCTAGGACTAACCCCTTCCATGCTAGCCTATCTGTATATTCTATCCATTGCTTAGGGCCTGTGCTCTAGAAGTGAAGATTCAGATGTGTATCCAAAGGGTAAAATCTCCTTTCAGTTGAGCTCTGATGTGACCCAGTAGTGGTATTCACTTACCTTCACTACCGGTTCGCAAATGTGACCACGCGCCACCTCTGAGCATGCACAGAGCCTTCTGTGCATGTGCAGAGAGTCTGTGATGATGTCTGGGCAGGTGGATGGAGCCTCTTACCACCGCCGCTACCGGTTTTCCCGAACCAGGTAGAACCGGTAGAATCCCACCACTGATGTGATCCTTAAACTATACCTGGGCAGTTTCCTTGGCTACGTTATGGAAGTAGTTGACAATTGACCTTTTTCAGATTCCTTTTCAACTTCCCAGTCTAGGTCTGCACCCTTGGGATGTTTTAGAAGTCTCATGTCTCCCAGGACTTTAATCCCACTTAACTTCTGAAAATTTCCTGTTCCCTAATCAAAGATGACACCTGAGTGAATAAGGAAAACTCCAACATAATTCCCCAGGTGGTAAATGTCATATATATATATATATTCCCTTATCAGATAAAAATCTTTATTCCTGGAAAAGAAAAATACTGCTACCTTGACTAAGCATGAAACATCTGCAGTTCAATTTCAGTATTTATTATTTTGCTTTTGTTTATTTGTTTCTTGTGAATAAAGTGCATCGAAGATGCTGGCAGGAATTGTGTGTGATTAGTTTATCAGCCCTGTCCTAGATTCTCAGCTAAGTTTTATCTAGGTCCCTTCCTGAATTAAATGTGATGATTAGGCTAAATTTTTTAAAGCTTGTAGAATTAGTAGTTGATGAACTGCAAAAGTTATTTGTAGAGAGGTTTTTTTTTTCTTTTCTCCATGAAGAACTACTGAATTTTCACAAAGGCATTGAAGCCTGAAAATGCGACGGATATAGATTAGCATTAGGTAGCAGAGTAGAAATATTAGAAGAGAGAAAGGGAGAGAGATAATAAAGATTAAATAGATAGATAGATAGATGATAGATAGATAGATAGATAGATAGATAGATAGATAGATAGATAGATAGATAGAGACAGATAGATAGATGAGAGATGAGAGATACAGTAGATAGATAGATAGATAGATAGATAGATAGATAGATAGATAGATAGATAGATAGATAGATAGATAGATATAGATGAGAGAGAGAGAGATGATTGATACAGTATAGATAGATAGATAGATAGATAGATAGATAGATAGAGGAGAGAGAGAGAGAGAGAGAGAGAGAGAGAGAGAGAGAGAGAGAGAGAGAGAGAGAGAGAGAGAGATGACAGATAAATAAGATACGGTAGATGATAGATAAGAGATGATTAAAAGAGGGGGGGGGAGAGATCCCTATGAAGTGGGCTGGTTCCTGGTGAAATACCTATATAGCTTTCTTGGTAATTCAGATATGCTTTGCCCTGGCCTCCTTTTAGGACGCTTTTCGAATTTCTGTACAGTTTGTACAATTCCTTGCTGTTCTCCCTGCTTGGGGCTCAGTCTGCTTTGACTTAGTGCTGCCCCCTGCTGTAAATAAAAAGTATGAAGGGAGTGAAAGTGGGAGACTTAAAACAGAGCTTTGCTGTAGGAAAATTGGCATTTTGTTCATATTTTCCTTGTCCCCCAGGAGCGCGATAAATTTGTGACGAGGATACCAAGTTTCTAGTTTTCCCATCACTCTTCCCTTCCCTATAAGGGCTCCTTATAGCAAATCAGCAGCGGAATGCAAGAGTACATTTTCTTTGGCTGCGAAGGGAAAGAAAGCCTGAAAATCCAGATATTATCCAGATTGAAGTTGCTGGGGTTGCCAAAACAAAAAAAAAAAGTACAAATGAAATTGTTGAAAATGCCACTGTTACATCTGAATTAGAGCAGATCCCGGTGTCTTAGGTGGACCTCCAAATGACGGGTTGCACGTTAAGCACCGTAAAATGAAGCCAAATCGGAAGGATCACCGCCAGTAAAGGCTCAGAAGCAGCTTCTTTGGCCCCTGCACCCCTGCTCAACTCCTCATTTAGGAAAGGGGGGGGACTTGCATACTTGGCTCCCTTCCTCTCCATCGGAATGCTTTCATGGGTGGAAAGGCCAAGCCTGGGAAGCTGGGCAGCCGAGATAAGGACTCCTGCCTTTGTCTCGCTTCCTGTTGTGCTGGGATGTTGTCACCTTGGAAATCCTCCTTTGCAGCCCTTAGCGCCAAAAAGAGGGCAACCCAGAGCATTGGCTGTAGGGACAGTGTGTATCTGTGTGTGTGTGTGTGTGTGTGTGCAAATACACATCCAGGTGTGTATGTGCATGCATGTGTGTGTGTGTGAGAACGTGCATGTTTGTGTGTGCACATGTGTCTACGTGTGTGCTGAGGCCCCTTCTTCCTCTCCACTGTGTTTGGCTCTTTCAAGCTACAAGGGAAGATCTGTTTTGTCCTTGAGCGTTGTTTTGAATGCTGACCACTTAATCAGGGCACACAAAGCCAACACAAATAGGCAAGGAGTCACAGTCGGTTTGTTCCATCACTCTCTATCACAATCACACACACACAAACACAGGTAAGGTAAAGGTAAAGGTTCCCCTCGCACATACATGCTAGTTGTTCCTGACTATAGGGGGATTTATTCTGATTTTCTGGCAGGAACTGCACAGTTTTTATCCTCTAGTTTCCCTACAAGCTATAACCTTCAAGTAGACTGGGATGATGTTTCTACACAACATATTCGTTGAAGAGCTAGTAGTTTCATTCACACAACTCATTGGTTCTTTTAAACTTTAGTAAAGGTAAAGGTTCCCCTCGCACCTATGTGCTAGTCGTTCCCTACTCTAGGGAGTGGTGCTAATCTCCGTTTCAAAGCCAAAGAGCCAGCGCTATCCGAAGACATCTCCGTGGTCATGTGGCCAGCAAGACTAAACGCTAAAGGCGCACAGAACGCTGTTCCCTTCCCACCAAAGGTGGTCCCTATTTTTCTACTTGCATTTTTTTAATGTGCTTTCAAACTGCTAGGTTGGCAGAAGCTGGGACAAAGAATGGGAGCTCACCCCATTATGCGGCACTCGAGATTCGAACCGCTGAGCTGCCGACCTTTCGATCGACGAGCTCAGTGTCTTAGGACCACAACTGGGAGCAGAATTTCAGTTGCCAAGCAAGTTCCCTGGTTGTTAAGAGGATGACTGCACTTGTTAAGTGGGCCTGGCTTTTTCCTATGACTTTGCAGGACAGAAACCGGCTGAGAAGGTGTCAAATGGCATTCACATGAGGCTACAACTGCCTCTGCCACAGCTGTCAGGACCAAGTGCCCAAATTTTGACCATGTGACGGTGGGAATGCTGTGACAGTTCTATGAGGACTGGTCGTAAGTCACAGTTTCCCATGCCGTTTCAACTTTCAGGGGCCACTAAACAAATGGTTGTAAGTCAAACACTATCGCTATAACATTATATGTAATACAACATTACATTATCATAATATACATATACCATATATATCATAATACCATATAGCAAATTTTATAGATATAATGTATGTTATACATAATGCTATATAGTTGTTTTAAATAAATAAATAAAATTTCCTCAAAAAATGAAGAAGCACTGGAACTTTCAGAAGATTCAGTTTCTTTTGCAGGTAGTCCTCGGTTTACGGCCACAACTGAGACCAGAATGTCTGTTGTTAAGTGGGACATTTGTTATAAGTGAAATTTGCTCCATTTTAATGACTTTTCTTGTTCACGGTTGTCAAGTGAATCACTGCAGTTGTTACATTAGTAAAACGCTTCTTAAGTGAATCTTGGCTTCCCCGTTGACTTTGTCAGAAAGTCACCACTCCCCCAAGGACACTGTAACCGTCATAAATATGGGTCAGGTGCCACACCTCTGAATTTTGATTGGGTGACCATAGGCCAGGGGTCTGCAACCTTAAACCCTCAAAGAGCCATTTGGACCCATTTCCCACAGAAAAGAAAACACCGGGAGACACAAAACCCTTCCCGTGCCTGACTATTTCTTGAGCGGCCACAAAACTAGCATATGTAGTTGAATTAAATGTTCTGTTTTCTTCTGAAACTTTTCTTTTCTTGGATTTATCCGTGGTTGGCCTACCGGGGGGTTTGAAAAGCTCAATAAATTGTCTGCCGGCAGGTGTCGTACATTGGCGGTTGTGATGCATATTTTGAGTGTCAGGGAGCCACAGCAGGGGGCCAGAGAGCCACATGCGGCTCCAGAGCCGCAGGTTGCTGACCCCTGCCATAGGGAAAACCGCAATGGTTATAAATGTGAAAAATGATCCTAAGTCACATTTTTCAGTGATGTAATTTTGAACGGACACTAAACAAACTGCTGTAAGTTGAGGACTCCCATCTATGAGCAATTCAGTTTACTCCAGGCAAACTCTGTCAAAGGTCCTTTGAAAGGGAAACCATTCAACATTAATAGGGTTGCCTCAGTGGTGAAATCCATTTTTTTTTACTACCGGTTCTGTGGAAGTGGCTTGGTGAGCATGGCAACGGAAGGATACTGCAAAATCTCCATTCCCACTCACTCCAGGGGAAGGATACTGCAAAATCCCCATTCCCTCCCCATTCCCTCCCCACTCCAGGGGGAAGGATATTGCAAAATCTCCATGCCCACCCCACTCTGGAGCCAGACAGAGGTGGCATTTGCCGGTTCGCCAAACTGCTCAAACTGTTCGCTACTGGTTCTCCAGAACCTGTCAGAACCTGCTGGATTTCACCCCTGGGTTGCCTCTATTCTGGTGCCCGTTGATTGCGAGGCAGACTCAATCCTTGCAGCGTTCATGGCGGTTGGTTGTCCATCAGAAAGGACTCTTCCTCTGTAGGAGTTATTTTTGTTAAGTGTATTGTTTCTCCTAAAGTTCCTGGAATTGATGTTAAAATGACTGACCTGTAATTTCCTGGATCTCTCCTTGTCTCCCTAAAAAAAAAAAAATGTTCTCTTTTTAAAACTTGGCCGAATTCTCATGCTCTGGCACTAAGCCATATTTGAGAGACAAGTTCCATATTTTTATTAGAAGGACAACAATTTTCCCTTTCTTTACAACCTCGACTTACAACCATTTGTTTAGGAACCATTCAAAGTAACAGCAGGACTGAAAAAAAAGTGACTTGTTCCCACTGGAACGAGGCCCTCCAGCTCTTCGCCACCAGCGGCGCTTCCCTCCAGCCTTCGCCCAAAGCCCCACACCAGGAGGCTGAAGCAGATCCCAAGTTTCTTTCCCCCTCCGACCGACACAAAAACACTCCAAAGGGGGAGACTCTCTGCAGCAACACAAACGTTCATTGCACGTATCCGGCCCAGGGGCCGTAGTTTGAGGACCCCTAATTTAGTGCAATATAAAAAATGCAAATAATTTTTCTGCGGACCACCAAAATTTTCTTGTGGACCACCAGTGCAACAGACCCCTTGATTAGACTTTCAGTGACATGAATTGGACCAGGGCTGGCCTGATCAATTTCAGGTTTATCTTCTCTAAGTTGACCAGAAAACCAAGCTTGTTTTTTTTTTTTTTAAGTCGCTGCAGAAACCAGGATTCTGGTCTCCTGCAGAGTAGGCACCAAGCCCCAAGGACCAGAAAAAATAAGTGGTCCCACAGAACTGCCAGATCAGTTTGAGCTAAGCAGACTAGGTGGCTCAGTGGCTAAGACACCGAGCTTGCCGATCAGAAAGGTTGGCAGTTTGG